CCTCAGCAGCCCCTTCCAGCAAAGCCTCAGCCTCAGCAGCCCCTTCCAGCAAAGCCTCAGCCTCAGCAGCCCCTTCCAGCAAAGCCTCAGCCTCAGCAGCCCCTTCCAGCAAAGCCTCAGCCTCAGCAGCCCCTTCCAGCAAAGCCTCAGCCTCAGCAGCCCCTTCCAGCAAAGCCTCAGCCTCAGCAGCCCCTTCCAGCAAAGCCTCAGCCTCAGCAGCCCCTTCCAGCAAAGCCTCAGCCTCAGCAGCCCCTTCCAGCAAAGCCTCAGCCTCAGAAGCCCCTTCCAGCAAAGCCTCAGCCTCAGCAACCTACCCCAGCAAAACCCCAGCCTCAACAGCCCACTCCAGCAAAGCCCCAGCCTCAACAGCCCACTCCAGCGAAACCCTCAGCTCAACAACCTGTCCCCCCAAAACCCTCAGCTCAACAGCCTGTCCCCCCAAAACCCTCAGCTCAACAGCCTATGAAACCAACAAGCCAAACGGTCACTGAAAGACCTCTGCAACCACCACCACCTTCGGCAGCACAGACTCCAGGACAAGATATCTCTAAAACCATCTGTCCCCTTTGCAACACCACTGAACTTCTGTTGCATATTCCAGATAAGGCCAATTTTAACACATGCACTGAGTGTCAGACCACCGTGTGTAGCCTCTGTGGTTTTAACCCCAATCCTCACTTAACTGAGGTGAGTACATTTATTAGTGCAAGCTCCATAAGTTGAGGCACTGTCCACTCATGGTGCCTGTTTTGTCACTTGGGACAACAGGGACTGCTTGTTTCTCCCTCTCTTCATCTCCCTCTCTCCTCTTTCTCCTTTCCCCTGTCAACTGTCAATTTATTCTTATAAAATATTCTCTTGAATGAAAGTCCTAACGTACTGCCACAGTTTGTGAAAATGTGGCATGTAAAACAATTATGAATTGAAGGAAAGGAACTGAAGTCCTAGATTCACTCAGTGTTTAATATCTACAATGTTTATTATTCAGCATAAACTGATATTGCTTTAATTTTAAAATTGATACTTCCACTTACCAGATTTTGGTATTGTATTTGTGTGGCTTATTTGTTTTAGTTTTTTTTTTTTTTTTTTTTTTTTTTTTTGAGACAAGGTTTGCCATGCAACCAAGCTGACTTAGAATTCTTTTTGCAGCTCAGGTTGCTTCTAACTTGTGATCTGCCTTCCACAGCCATCCAAACTCCTGGATTACAGGCATGCTCAGCCCCACTCAGCTCATAATTTAATACTGTTAACTGAGATCATATTTGTATTTAAGAAAGTTCATAATTCTTTTCAAATTACAAATATATCTTTACTATTAACTGGAGTGGTTCTCAATTTGTACAGGCCCCTTCCCTGCTGTTGATTCCTCTATACCAGATGATAATGTACCCCCCTCATTATCTGAGAATCACTGGTAACAACACAGGTTAACCCACAACATGAAGCTAGTAAAGTTGACTCGTCATTGATATGTGTGCACTTAGAAGATGTATTGATGTCACTTACCTAGGTAACCTGCTTAACCCTCAAATCAAAAGGGACCAAGAGTGATGACTGCAGGTTGTCTTCAATTAGTTTTGATACAACAATTCCCAGCTAATAATTATTAGCTTAAAGGCCTGGAATAAAGTAGTATTTTAATAGGTTGAAATTAGGCACATTCTAGAAGGAAGGAACTAAATGTCACAGTCTAGTGGAAAAATTAGAAAATTCTTGAAATAAAAAATAAACAAATAAAACATGTTTGTCTTTCTAGATCTGGGTTTCCTCACTCAGGATAACTTTTTTTTTTTCTAGTTCTATCCATTTGCCTGAAAATTTCATGATGTCATTTTTTTTTTTAATTGGCTGAGCAATACTCCATTGTGTCAATATACCACACTTTCTTTATCCATTCATCTGTTGGGAGACATCTAGATTGTTTCCAATTTTGGTTATTATGAGTATAACAGCAATTAACATGGTTTAGCAAGTGTCTCTGTGGTAGGATGAAGTGTCCTTTGGGTATATGCACAAGAGTGGTGTAGCCGGATTCCCATCTTCCTGAGAAACTGCCATACTGCTTTACATACCAGTTTGTAGTCCCAGCAGCAATGGCTGTATATTCCCCTTACTCCACATCCTCTCAAGCATGAGCTGTAGCTTCTATTGTGGTTCTTAGCCATTTTGACATATGTAAGATTAGTTTGATTTACATTTTCTGGATGATTATTAAACATTTTAAGAATTTCTCAGCCATTTGAGTTTCCTCTTCAGAGAGTTCTCTATTCACATCTATCTGTACAGTTTTTAAAATTGGGTTAGTTGTTTTCTTGCTATTTAGTCTTTTGAATTTTTTATATATTTTGGACATTAAGCCTCTACTTGATGTGTAATTGAAAAAAATCTTTTTCCATTCTTTAGGCTGTCATATTGCCTAAATGACAGTACCCTTTGCCATACAGAAGCTTTTTAGTTTTATGAGGTCCCATTTATTAAATGTTGATCTTAATGCCTGTGCTAATGGTATTGTGGTAAGAAAAACTTTTCTGGTGTCAATGAGTTAAAGGCTATTTCCCACTTTCTCTTCTATCAGGGGTCAGTGTTCCTGGTTTTATGTTCAGGTCTTTGATCCATTGGAGTTGAGTTTTGTGGAGGGTGATTAAGTATGGGTCTGTTTGCATTCTTCATGCTGGCCTGCTTCTATAAGCTTTAGTTGGGGGAGAAAATAATATATAAAGGGAATGTGAATCATTTTTATCTGGCCAACATCATAATAAATGTGTTTTTGGATGTGAATATAGAACTTTCAATATCTGTTTCTCATCTAGAAAATGTTAAATTCACATGGTTCAGTCTAGGAAGATAAGGTGTTAATAAATCACAAAGCAACATGTTCTATTTGGACATCAGACAGGCACTGAATTCTTTCACAAGTCTGCAAAGGCTTTGGTTTGAGTACTTTTATTCCTTGATTGTCTTTTGGACAGAAAAATAAACGGAATCTAAGGTGTCCTCTGCGGAAAGAAGGAATAACATGAAAATAGAATGATAATATAAAGTAAATGTGAGAGACTGGAGTTTAAGGGCATAGGCAAAGTTTGTGGTATCTCTTTTTTCATTTGAAGAGGTGTGATCCCTCATACTATATAGAACGTACATTTAGTCTATCTGGAAGACAGTGGTTAGTGGGCTGTCTATGCACTGTGTCTGAGAATACTGGGGAAATAACACAACAGGAAACGAAGGAGTATATGATTTAAATATCCTTAAGAGATAGTGTTGTATGCTCTATTTATAAATGAAATTGTGTTAATATTAATAACAATGAGGATAAATAGTCACTACATTATAATGTATGAGAAAAATAATGTTTTAAACTTCTCAAGTGCTCTTTTTTTGAAGTATTTTAGTTTTGTGATTATTGGGTTCTATAGCCATTTAAATGAACCATTTTTTTACATATAAAATTACAATTAGTAAGACAGTATTATGTGATCTTATAAATGATGGACAGAATCATATTGTAATTAGGTGTGTGTGTGTGTGTGTGTGTGTTTAACTTTTTAAAATTTTGCCTGGTGGTGGTGGCACACACCTTTTATCCCAGCACTCAGGAGGCAGAGGCAGGCAGATCTCTGTGAATTAGAGGCCAGCCTGGTCTACACAGCACGTTCCAGAGCTACAGAGAAACAAAAAAAAGAAAAACATCAAAAATAAACAAAAAAATTAGTAAAGTTGTATTTTGGCCCATACTATACTGCTTTGATACTGATACAAGAAAATGGTTTGAAAGATGGTGGTTTATTCATTTGATATTTGCATTTATTACACTCCAGTGGCAAGTCACAGAGCAAAAAATGCATTTGGAAATATACACTTCATTTATAGTTTATATGCTGAGTATTTGGAAGATAGATATTATTTAAGTGTCTAATACATAGGAGACATTCTGGTACATGGTTATGGGATAGAGATGAGACCAAAGCATGACTGCTGAACTTAACATGATTAAAATACACTCCGTGTTGGGGAGCAGAAAGGGGATAGGGTAGTGGGTTGGTGGGGGGCCAGGGGAGGAAGGGAGGGAGAGGGAACTGGGATTGACATGTAAAACAAGCTTGTTTCTAATTTAAATTAAAAAATAGAAAAAAATATACAAAGAAGAAAAAAGATACACTCCGTTTATGCACCTGTAAATACGATATGGCCTCACAGCTGTGAAAAATAAAAGCAAATATGATGAACTTCTGAGTAGGAAGCACCCTTTCCTAGTGGATAAAATCGAGGAAAACTTCATGGAAAAAATGTCTTTTCCATGGAATATATCAGTATAAATACCAGTTCAACAGATAGAGAACCTGCAACAGGTTAGGATTTGAGCAAGTCCCAGACAAGGAAAAATTCAGGGTATGTTTAGGATAGTAAGAGTAAATATGGGAGTCGGGAGATGGCTCAGTATGTGGAGGCACTAAATGTACTTGCCAGACAGCTCCGATGTGCTAGGTTGGTTTCCTAGATCACAGAAAGAAAGGAGGTAACTTGCATCTCCCTCTGATATCCATATGTTCACTGTAGAATTCCCGGACACTCTTGTAATTCAGCTTGTTCCTCTGTGTGGAGTGGAGCGCAAGGCCTTTAAATTACCTACCCTCTCTGGAGGCTGTTGAGATGGGAACCTCTCCAAATATATCCTAAGAAGGCCCTGGCTCCCAGGCTAGAGATCTGGTATGGAGAGGAAGTCATATTTGTAGCTCTTGTTGCTGGTCCATTAATGGAATTAATCACTACAACACAGGATTTCTCTTTGAGTCTGATTCCTGACATAAAGCAAACATTTACTTTCTAATTATTGACAAAGGACATGTTTTTTTGCTGTTGTTTTTGTGCATTTACTTTATCATGATCAGTGAACAGCCTCGGGCAAGACTCATTTGTGGATATATTTAAAGGCTTGTCCTTAATGTTGGATCATTCTCTCAACTCTTCTGAAATCATACGATGTAAGAAAAATGACTTGTCATTTTCTGAACATTGATAATGAACTAAATGTTAGTGATTAAATTGAATTTGTTTATTTTCAGTAATTATACATGGCTTTTGGTCAAAATTAGACATTTAATTAAATAAAAGCATAGATGTCTTTCTGGCCAAAGCAGTAACAAAACCAAACTAGACTTTCATATATAGATTTGCATGTAAGCCTTATTAAAAAGATGAAACATTACTTCTAATTAAGAGAAACTAGTGTGTGTGTGTGTGTGTGTGTGTGTGTGTGTGTGTGTTGTGTGTGTGTATCATCGTGTGTGTATGTGTGTGTTTGATTATGTATGTGTGAGTCTAAGTGTGTGTTTGAGTTGTATCAGGGATTGCTAAAAAGACCTGGCACATAAAGCAGAGAGATATGGTAATCAAGAAGAGAAGATACTGGCTGGCACCTCTGGTGAAGGAAACATAAGATAACATTTCTTACATGGTGGAATAGCTGAAATAATTTTTACTAAAGAGGAAGTTTTTTTTTTTTTTTGGTCTTTTTCAATTGCTTGATGTTTTTGTTTTTGCACAGAGCTTTTTTGTCACCTCTAATTCTATGCAAAAATGCTGCACAAACTCCTCCATCTCCCCATTCCCCCCACCCCTACAGAAAAAAAAAGATTGAGCTTACAAGTACTGACCATCTCCCCTAGGGGTCCATCCTTCATGTG